GGGGGCTAGGGGCTGTATGCAGGCACGGGGGTAGCTCAGGATGTGGGGGTGGGGGGCTAGGGGCTGTGTGCAGGCACGGGGGTAGCTCAGGATGCAGGGAGAGGGGTATTAGGGGCTGTGTGCTGGGAGGGCTCCTCTGCAGTCCCTGTTCCCGGAGGGGTCTGCCAGCCACAGAGCCGGGTCTCCTAACCAGCTGCCTCTGTGGGAGCAAAGGGGGCTGGGAGCTGAGGAGCAATGTCAATCTGGGGCACCAGCAGGAGACAAGGCAATGCTGCCGCTGCCTGCTCCATGACACCAGCCAGAGCAGCAGCTAGCCCGCACTGCCCAGCTCCGGCTTCCCGCCTCCAACCTGGCCAGGGGGCGGGAAGAGGAGATGGGGAGGGGTGTGGTGCTGCCTGCCCGGGACTGTCGTGACCTTTCGGTGCAATTGGGAGTGAGGGGCAACGCCATCCAAGTCCCCAACTCTGCCTATGGGGCAGAAGTCCTGAGCCCATAGGCAAGCACCAGAGCTCGGGGTTCCAGGATTCAGCCCTGCACCTCCCGGCTTCAGCCCCCCGGATGGCATCAGGGATCGGGGCTTCAGTCCCAGGCCTCCCAGCTTCAGCCCTGTGGGGGGTGCTGGTTCAGGGCTTCAGTCACGGGCCCTGCAGCCCTCTTGAAAGGGCTTGCAAACCCCAAGGGGCCACGGACCCGATTGACAACCGCTACATTAAAATACAATAAATACACTCAGTTATATCTCTGGCTTGCAAAAAATATTCCCACAAATGGAAATAACGTATGTTGTTACTTTTTGTTTCTCAAGCTTCAAATCATCTCGCATCATGTCTCCAGACACCAACTCCCCATCCAGACGCATCAATTGATCCTGGAGTATCTCAAATTGTTTTTCTGCTTTCCTGGCCTTTTGCAGAGCCTCCTGGTGCAATCTGGTCTGATTCTCCAGCTGCTCAGTCAGTTTAGCTATTTGGGCTTCAAGCTGGGACACCATCTGGGAAGCAAGAAAACCAACAAGACAGAGACTGAGTTTAACTTGACATGTACGTGTTAGAGGCACAAGAAAGACGCATCCCCAAGCTAACAAACAGTGGAAGATTTCCCACTTCTAAATAAATAATTTTTTAAAAAGGAAGGAAACAAAATGTGGGATAACTATTAGAAAAAATATTGTATGCAGTATTTTTGTATGCAGTTGGTCCCAGGAAATTAGAGAGACAAGTTGGGTGAAGTAATATCTTTTATTGGACCAACTTATCTTGGTGAGAGAGACAAGCTTTCGAGCTTACAGAGCTCTTCAAAAAAATGATAGAAGCTGCTGGGAAAAAAAATGTTGCAGTGAGTCACTGCCCACTGAATCAGAAATGGAGAACAACACAAAGACCCTATTATCTATGCCTACGCTGCCAATTCATTTGAAGTAGCTAACTCTTTTGTAAATGTTAATCTAGACACTCCATGATCATTCCAGAACACCCATTCACAATTTACCCTAAATTTCATCCAAGGCCATGAAACAAAAACTTTTGTGTCCTGAAATGTGGAGTGTCTAGATTAACTCAAGTTAGCTAACATCTTTGTAATTGTTAATTAGTAATCAATCAATTTCAATTAAAATAGGGCCACAAACTCCAGACTGCATATACGCTGGAAAAGAACATTTTAGAAAGATTGACTAATACATTTTAATTAAGTGGGTTTTACAAACATGTTACCCCCTAGTGTAGATAGTGTTAAAAAAAATTAAAATGTGTTCGCTTTAACATTAGAGAGCGTAGGGTTCACCAGGAACAACTGATAAGTTTTTAAAACATGTCTCCACTCAGTATTAATGTGCTTTTAAGCACCACTTAATTAAGATGTGTTTGCTAAACACATTTTTTCTAATGTGGATAAGAACTGAACCTCACAATATAAACCAAAAATCGTTTAGCTGTTCTCTATTAACTTTACAACACTTATGTGATTTGCTAACCAATAAACTCAATGGAATGGAATTAAAAAATGAATTGTTTAATAACTGGAAATAGCAACAAGATGGCTAATTACAATGCTGCCAAATGTTAAATTGCTTGGCCATATTCAAAAGGTTGTTTTTTTCCCCATCATTTTATTTTCCTGTAGTTATTTGGTTTGCATTGCATGTTCATTTTTAATTCCACCCTCAGATACTCATCCAACAGTCCCTTCATTTCTAGCATCTGTTGGCCTCATGTTTACAAACTGGCCTGATTCCTGATTTACACACACAAAACTGCCATTAATTTCAGTGACACTTATCAAAACGTAAGGGCTGCAGCCTTGGGTTAGTGTTAAATAAAATGGCATAATTGAACCAGGACCAAAAAGGCTTTAGGGAAATATTATTGATTGCACACTGAGCGGAATGACCCACCAACAACAAAATACAACCCAAAGAGAAAAAAAAAATCGACAAAATTATTTTCTATTGTATGTCACTAAAGGCCAACTCTAGCCCTCATTAGATCGGAGGAGAAACTGGTGTCAGGGGAGGAAGACTCCTCCACCAGGCTACAGAAGCTCTGCAGCTGATTTACCTGGTTCACTTTTGGCAGAGAACAGAAGAAATGCACGTAGCTTCAGATTAACCCAGCCCCAGCCTCTTTTTCTCCTGTACAATGCCATCCAGGAGGCTGCTTGCACACAGCAGGGTTCTGCAACACACACACACACACACACTCTCCCATGCACAATAAAGCTACACTAATTCTGCAGAACAGAGATCCTTTGGGGTGGCAGAGTAAGAGGTGTGAATTCACCTGAGGGCTTGTCTACACTGGAAATGCTACAGCGACACTGCTGTAATGCTTCAGTGTAGACACTACCTACACCGATGGGAAGGGTTCTCTCGGTGGTGTAGGTAATCCACTTCCCAGAGAGGCAGTAGCTAGGTCAACAAAAGCATTCTTCCTTTGACCTCGTGCTGTCTACATAGGAGGTTAGCTCTGCTTCGCTACATCACTCATGGGTGTGGATTTTACACACCACTGAGCAATGTGGCTAGGTCGACCTAACTTTTTAGTGTAGACCAAGCCTCAGTCAGTGAAATATGCATCTAATGATGCTGCCACTCAAATGTTGCCATTTATTTCAATGGGAAAAGCATTAGGTCTTGATTCAAAACCCATTAAATCAACAAAAAGCAACAGAGGGTCCTGTGGCACCTTTGAGACTAACAGAAGTATTGGGAGCATAAGCTTTCGTGGGTAAGAACCTCACTTCTTCAGATGCAAGACTTTATATTATTGGGCACTTGTCATTTTTTGTGTTGATTTTTTTTTAAAAAGGCATACCTCTGGGCTTTCTACAGATTAAATTATGCTTGTCAACAGATGCAAATAAATGCCAGGCATTCTCCCATTTCACTGGGTTAAATACCCAATTGCAGAAAGGTCTGTAGCAATTTTTAGCCAGACACATTTATTATCTATTATAAGCTGACTGGAATGCTGAGAAGTCATCCAGGTAATAGGATAGGCTAATGTGTAGGCAATTAAAGCTCTAAAAATGGCCTCTCTTCCGTCACCTCATTGAAGGCATTTAATCTCTTCACTGACCATCTGGGTGCAAAGTATATACACTCCATCTTAAACTTTTTGATTCTAATCCTAGAAAGGGACTAGTTGGTACAGAGTTCCAGTAGGACCCTGCCCAGGCTAAAAGGTCAGCACAGGCATAAAACTTTGTGGGATTGGGGCCTTACATTAAGATTTGAAAAACAATTGCACTTACTCATGAATGTAGAAAGTGTAAGCAAAACTAGACTAAAAACAACCTACACTCTCTTGGGAATGATTCCTTTCAGAGCATGTTCAAGTCCTTTCTCACATAGTTATTTCAAGGTCTGACCTTCATAAAGAAACTCTCCTGAGAGAAGCAGTCCATACTTCTTTATTAGAGCGCTTCACTTTAGGATAAGACAGACAGAATAACTTCTTGTCCCCCATACCTGTGACACATAGTTGCTAAATAATAAAGTTTCCTCAGCATGCACGTTTGATTTTTTTTTTTGTATCTTTGTATTTACTAAGTTCAGTGGTAATTGATATATAGCTAAAAATCCTCCCCGTGGTTTTTTTTTTTTTAGAAAATGATAAAAAAGTAACAAAAATACAGGGGCAGAAGGCAAAGAAAGGAGAAGGGAAGATTTGCTCTTCTCTCCCCTTTATTATTTTAAGGATGGAATAAAAATACTATGGAGGCACAGGTTGTAGCTCCATAGTTAAGGCCGACGTGAGTTTTGCATTTAAAGCAGCGGTGCCCAGTCATGGAATCCAAACAACCTTAATTCTGCCTTGTAGTGACACTAAAAGGTATGTCTACACTGAGAGGCAACATGTGGGGCGGTCAAACACCCCCTCCCCTCCGAACCTTTAAATTGTGCCAACCCACACTATCAACATTTACATGTTGCCTCTGTAAAAAGGTGTGGTCTTAACTCAGATTAGCTAACCCTGTTGGAGGTATTTGGGTTGAAACAACACGGCAACACAGCTTTTAACTTGGTTCAGCAGCTCAAGTTCAACCCTGAGCTGCCCTAGAGGCTTCAACTTGAGCAGCTAACCCAGGTAAAAAGCCAAGTTGTTGTGTCTTCACTGTTATTTGAACCCAAGTTAGCGAATGTAGGTTAGCTAATCCAAGTTAAAACACATCTTTTTATGCAGTGTATAATCTAGGTGGGGGGATTAAAAAAAATCTAATGTGTCTTTAAAAAACAGTTTAATTGAACATGGAACTTCAACAACTATTATGCATTAATTACAATTGTCTAGTTACTGCATGATGTTACTATAGGGCAGAGTTAAGTTTGGTTAAGGAAAAGTACATCTCTATACCTTCATGTTCGGATTTCTTAAATTCAACTTTAACTCTGAATTTCCTGGGTTTATACCAATTATTTTGAGGATAATTATGCCCCTATAATGGTTTTACCCTAAACATCTCATATGTACTTCCAAAATTAACTTCATTTTGTGTTGGAAATATACACACATACATACACGCGAGTGATACTACAGTTCTTACCTTTAAAACAGCTTAAATGAATTTGCCTTTTGTGGTATCTTTGAAAAACCAATATACTGCAATGGAGAAATCATTCTCTTTTGCCATGGCTATCAAAATAAAGCAACTGTTAAGCAACCTTAGTGGTAGTTTATATTGAAAACTACTCTTCCTTTAAAAAAAGCCCTTCAATAACCTTTACCTGCAGCTTTGGACAGTCTAACCGTGGGTCACTTTTTCAGTGTGTAGAACCATAGTTTTCCACCATGAATCTCAAATACCACTGTATGTATACCCTTTAGGCCGTTTTGTTCTCCCAATACCCAAACTGGCCAAGCCTGCCTCCTTGCAGCAATGTTTATGGGAAGGGGAGAGCCGTTCCTTTATTCCTTGACTTTGTACTTGGGCTGTCTCATCCTTAAGATTCCGGTTTTCAATGTCAGAGTTAGTTGATCTTCTAGGTAGCCACAAGTGATTGTCCCAAACTAACAGTATCCAAGACCCAGTTCAGGTTACTTTGAATTTAAGTTGATTGTATTGTCACATCAGAAAATGGAAAGAACAACAGAAAATAAAACGTATCTGGAAATAAACTCTTTGACACTACAGAAAGTAATGCTTAGTGAGAACAAAGCTCAGGGTACAGAGTACTGAAATATTATCTATACAGCACAGCAGAAAAAGTCCTTGCTCTCCCTCAACCTATAACTGTCCATTTCAGCCGTCTAGAAGAAAGCTCACTCACATGTTCGGCAAGGTGGGGGAGGGGGGGGGTGTGATACCTTCATTTTATGGCCTTCTGCTAAGATCATTATAATGTACCATTTCCTCACCTCCCCTGAACAGTAATTAACTTTTAACTTGTTTTCCACTAAAATGAAATGCATTCCTTTTCAGATGCCAGCTTATGCTAAATAAACAATGCCACTTTATGTTTCCCAATACATACAAACATTTAAGCAATACTGG